CCCGCGGGCAGCGGACAGGGTTATCCGCTGCCCACGCGCTCCGCGGCTTGGCTCTGCTTTGCTGGAAGTCAGAACTGGCAGTCAGTTTCAGCAGCGGCTGAATCTGGACGCCAGTTCCGACTTACATACAGATTCAACTTAAGAACAAACCTACAGTCCCTATCTTGTACGTAACCCGGGGACTGCCTGTACACCGAGAACGTAAGGCTCTGGGCATTGCTTTACTAGGGGAGTCTACAAGCTACTATTGCAGCTTATTTTGTAGGATGGAAACCCTAGCCCCTCTTTCAACAAAATGATTTTTTTCTGAAGTACCTCTCTCATGAATTTGTCATTGAAGTGTATGCTCTGACCCATGGTTATTACTAAGCTAATAGGCAACATCTTCAGATTTATTACTATTACTATTGAATGAGCACTTCATTCTCATAACTTTTCTCACTAGCTCTCACTAGCTAGCATATGCCTCAGAACTATCCATTTATATACATATAACAAGCATAACTGCTACAGTTTAAGACCCTATCTTCACCCTTCCATCTCAGTCTCTCCCCCATGCCTCAATAAAGGGGAGAGAAAAATAACTTATCTGGAAACACTGAAAACTTTAACCATTTTTATTTCTTAAAATGGGTTTCTCTCAAAGTAATTTTTCTCTAAAAATCAATCTGAAGATAAATCTGTTATCTGATTTATAACCCTATTCTAAAAGAGAGATTATTGTACTTTCTAATTTGCAAGAATGATACTGGTCGTAAATTGTTCCATCAATCAACAAAAAGAAAATTAAGCTGGATGAACATTGAGGAATTAGTTGTAGTGATTGAGAAACTAAAAATAGCCCTAAAAATCAGCTGTTTGTATAGGATGTGAATGTCAAGTTCTCTAGAAATTGATGGCGTATCTATACTTTCACCTGGATAAGACTATTCCAATTTCTTCAGGGTGGACTTATTTATCTGGATTTTTGATAATTTTCAGAGGTCACAGACTTGTACTCTCTGGTCGTATGAAAAACACTGAATATTTTAAAACTGCCAATTTAAATGGGACTTTTCACAAAATTAACGCTAAACTAAGGATGATGTACTGTACCCATGTCAGTCCCATGACACGAGAGAGACAAGAAAGGCATGGTAATTTTTTTGGGGGGTGGGGGTGGGGGTGGAACAAACTTATTTTTCTGGAAAGAGGGAAGAAAGGGTCAGCCAGCACACAAGAACAGAATTTTAAGAAAAAAAGCTTTGTAGCTGGCACTGATGTGTTTCAAACATTAGATAATTTGTTTTCTGTATTGAGACAGTTAACCAACTCCAAATTACAGATTTCATTGACTTTGTTTAATAAACCCAATCAGAAGCCACATTCCTAGATCTGCTTTAGAATTTATAGGAGCAGATTATTTTAGTAGCTGATTATCTTGGTATTAAATTTGATGATCTAACTCAAACTGAATGGTATTAAAGGTTTTGATTTGACCATCAGTTGATCACTGTATTGCTTTTTTTTAAGTTTAATATTAGTTAAAATATATTAGCTTTGGTGATATGTTCACACAAATGCTTTATCTCCCTTTGTCCTTAATTAAGAATAATCTCTTCCTTAAATTAAGTTGTACTTAATATTTGCAGTTAGATGAAACAGTAGCACAGAAAGAGGAGTATACGTATTTAAGCAATTGGGTTTAATACATGTAAAGGAGTACGTAGTCAGTTTCCATGGAGGGATCTGAATAACTGCTGTATGATATGAAGAAATACCTACAGGGTAATTATGCAGATAGATTTTCCTAAACCAGAATTCAAGGATCTGCGTAATAGAACTGAACACCACAATCGTGAGTCAATAATTACACAGCATCTACATGTTTGAGTTGGAGAAAACATTTCTGTAAAGACTGTATTTAGTGTCAGAATTACTTCTGTAACAATTTTACATACTTTATTTATCCTCTCCACCATCCATCCACACGTGGGTCTTGATGAGCTCTCAGAACACTTCGGAACAAGCAGTAAGGCTGGGATATTCAAAAGGTCTAAAATCCTATCCTAAGCATATCAAAATAAGGAGCCAAATTCTTAGCTGGGGTGAACATACAGAAGCTGAAGCTGAGCTATGCCGATTTACATAAACATCTGGTCCAGAAAATCTTTAAAATTTACTGGAAATCACTACGGCTGTGTCTAGACTCGCAAGTTTTTCCGGAAAATCATCTGCTTTTCCGGAAAAACTTGCCAGATGTCTACACTGGCCGCTTGAATTTCCGGAAAAGCACTGACGATCTCATGTAAAATCATCAGTGCTTTTCCGGAAAAACTATGCTGCTCCCGTTTGGGCAAAAGTCTTTTTCCGAAAGACTTTTGCGCAAAAGGGCCAGTGTAGACCGCATAGTTCTATTTTCCGCAAAAAAGCCCCGATTGCAAAAAAGGGGATCGGGGCTTTTTTGCCGAAAACCGCGTCTAGATTGGCCACGGACGCTTTTCCTCAAAAAGTGCTTTTGCGGAAAAGCATCCTGCCAATCTAGATGTGCTTTTCCGAAAATGCTTTTAACAGAAAACTTTTCCATTAAAAGCCTTTTCGGAAATTCATGCCAGTGTAGACGTAGCCTACATGTATCAGTTTTTAAAGGCAAAAATGTTACCAATAAATAGACCATTTATTATACTAGTTTTACTATACCTCTTCAAGTCCTGCAAATTTTGATTTCAGCTCTCTTATAGAAGATTCAGACTTGTATTTTTTCTCTTTGAGATCCTTATTAACAGTTTCCAGTTCAGATACCCTTGTTTCTAAGTGATGTATTTTTCTGTTGCAAGTTTCTTCCATTTCTCTCTTTTGCTGTTTATGCTGAAGCTGGTGCTTGAATCTTAGGCAGGAAGACCAGAAAATCATGAGAAGTCATGCATGTATACAGACATCTGATTTTTCATACATACATATGTTAATTTAAAATTCAATTAAACACAATGAAAAAAATGCAAACAAGGCTCATCAGAGATACAGACAACATTAAAACTCAAAAACTCAAAGTTTATACATTTCCCTTTCACTGTAAAGGTCAGGGAGTCTCTTTTTTAGAAGAAGCTATTAGAACTAATTGCTTTGACAGATTGCCAAGATGTACATGTTGTATCATGCAAGCAAGGTACTAACAAACTTCAACAGGACTTTATTTACCAGAAGTAGAGCCTCTTTACAAAGCTGCTGCATCCCTCAGTAGCTCTCCCTCAGCCCCTGCCAATCTTCTCCCTACTCCTTCCTGTTTCCTGTGCTTCCAGACTCCCAACAACCAGTGCTCCCAGTTCTAATAATTACAAGCAGCATCTAAAACACCAGAGTACACTGTGCTATAGATATGAAGTATTTGTCCATTAGGTCATTCTGGTGCTGCTCTACCTGAGACAGATGGCTACAGTTCTACTTACTTGTAGCACTTTCTCCTTTTCTGCTGTGATTTCCTCGGAGTATTTGTTAGTCAATGAAGTGGTCTGTGACATCCATTCATTTTGCAGTTTATCAAGTTCCTTACTTTTTTCTGCCAAAGCCTGAAAATATCACATGCTGATTTCTGTTTGTATAGCATTTATAATTTTTAAAAGTTAATTTGGTATAGATTTTAGTACTACACTTTCAGGACTTGGATTTGCTTTTTTTAAAATAAAGGCTGATTCCTACCTGCTGTGTTACAGTTAGTCTTTTCAAGAGCCCCTCTTCTGATTTCTGCAGCTTATCCTCCAAGATATTGTTTTCCATCTATTAAAAACACCAAACCGGAACAAAACTATATTATAATAGTTAAGAAGCCCGCACTAAAATCACAGATTTTTCATTATGTATAACAAGAACCTTTATCAATATGTAAAATGACCATACTATTATCAGTGCTGACAGTCTACTCTGAACCACTAGCAAAATAAAAAGAAAAATATTTCATTACACTTGCTACACAGCAAATATTGTATCAATAAATAATTTAAGATAAAGAGAATAAAAATCAGTAACTTGCATGATTGGGGGAACAGGAAGGGAGGAGAGAGATTTGCTCACAATTTTATAATGGATTTGATTTAAAAAGGAAGATCACTAAAACACTTAAATATTCTTTATTTTGCATGTAAATTTGCTGGTCTTATGTATTTATCTCTCTGTTTCTAGAAGAAACAGAAGAACTTTGCCTAACTTCAAACTCACTTGTACATCATAGTTTAATAGTTAGACTCAGATGTTATTTTATTCACATTCCACTTAGAGATTTAAAAATAGTAGAGGGGTGGGGAAAATATCTTTATGAAGTAACCAGCTTATATATAGGATTGCCAGGTGTCCAGTTTTCTACCGAACAGTCATGTTTTTTGGGGACTCTATCCGGTAAAAGCAGAAAATTGCACATGTCCAGTATTTTCTGGTTTTCCAGCTGGGCGCCCAGAAGCCTGGCGGGGGGAATGGCTGGGAGGTAGGGCACGATCGGCACTGGGAGCCCTGGTTGCGTGTGAGGAGGAGGGGCAGCCCGGTTCGTGCTCCTGTGCGCTGATCAAGAGTGGGGTGGAGCTGCAGCCAGACTGACTCGCATTTAGCCTGGACCACGCAGGGGGTGGGAGCACCCTGGGATCTGCACTACCCGGGTCAGTCCCACTCCCCACTGGCTGATATGCTCCTCCCCCCACCTAATCCGTCTTGGCCTGCTGATTGGTTTTCCTCCACTTCTCCTCCCGAGCTTCTCTGGCC